TCATTTTTAAAAATGTTAATGACTCCATCAATGCCACCCATTGGGATTATTCAGTAAGAAAAAGAAAGGTCTGTTATGCTGCCCACTGTGAAGACCTCTTGGTCTCTCTGATCTCTGAATGTACCACCATCAAAAGCAGGCCTGCTACCTAAAATTTAGCCTACACCTTCAACTACATATTTTACTTTAATTGGGGACAAAATTGCTTTGCTTTTAAGAGTGGAAATTTCCTCTAATGTGATTTCTCAGCAGCAGGTCCTTGATTTCAAGTAGAGCAATGCTGTTAATGGCTTGGTATACAAAACAGACTTGCATAGTACATTATCAATACTAGTCAAGGAAAGATCACTGTTTTTGTCTCAGAATGATCTTAGCATTCTTAAAGGCATAACATGCTCTATAAACAGTATGTAGTTATTTTTAGTTTCTTGGCTGATACATTTTATTAGAGTACATGTTTTCAGGGGGATTATTCTCATAGTGTTTTGTGTACATTATACAGTAATTTAACAACTACCTTTTTTACCACAATCAGGTTTTGTAACATCATCTGAAAGCTGAATGATGGAAGAAATACAGGTAAGGGGGATGGCATTTTAGAAAAAGATTTTCACAAGTTATAAAGAATGCATTCGGTTTGAGATTCTTTTTAGAAAAATGTTTTATTTCAATCCCTAAATTGAATTGGACCAAAGAAAAGAACCAAGATAAATGAAAGGACAGTGGAGATTACAGGATTGACAATGATTAAAACACACACTCCAGCTTTTTATATCACATGTTTCAAATGTGTGTACTAGTAACGTGAGACAATATTTGGCCATACATAAACAAAGTTATTTTACTATAATAATTTATCCAGAAATACTGTATATAGAGATATAGATAGATAAAGATTAGATAAAGAGACCACATGGTCTTACCTTCACTATGTGGATTCACTATATTAAATTATTAATGTAACTTCCAGAAACATACTGTAGTCTGATGTTATCTAAATGATTATCTAAATGATGTATGAATCAAATTTTGTGTTTTGCAGTAATTTAATCATAAAATAAACAACAGTAAGTGGTATTTATCCCTTTTCTAACAGTACTGAAAGATTAGACTTCATAGAATTTTCTTTTTTTTTTGGAAACTGTATTAGGATCACTACTCTTCAGTTAATAAAAATCCAAATGAAAATGTTAAGCCTTCAAAAGGTGCACTACATAATTATCTGTTGTGGGGAAGGAATGAAGTTCTCCATGGAGACAGATGTCCAAGTATCTGGAACTGTGAGGCAACAGAGCAAACCACCATACAACCTGGCTTCAAACTCATATTAAATTATATCTAAAAATAAAGCTAAACTCTTGAAGGTTAGACAACAAAACTAAATTAGAAGGCAAGCTTCAGGACTGAGCAGAATAGATCTATGAAAAAAGAAAAAAGAAGTTGCTTTTCCTCATACTCAAGTAGCAAAGCAGGTACATCACATTATCTCCCTTAGCTTCTCAGATCAGAAAGTGTAATGGAGAATTTATCACATTAATTGGTTTTACACATTTCCTAAGGACATGTTTTTTGCCTATGGGTATGTGTATGATGACAGATAAGGATAGGCTGACAGTCATAGAAATACACTCTCAAAGATTAATTTAACTAGCACATTATGCTTTATTCTGCATGCCTATGCTCTGTACCTGTTAGAGCTTTAAAAAAATACTGAAAATTACTGTTATTATACCATTGCATGTGATTACATTCAATGAAGTTTTAAAGCTTTGTTTCTATATTTTGAACTGCAATGTCATTGGTTTCATTACTACAGTATAGTTCAATTTTGTTGTTTTTTGGGATTCAAAATCTTATACCTGAGAATTCTTATAATTCTTATAGCTGATGAATGATTGATTATGAAACATGATTCATTAATATTTAACTTGCATTTAGCCAGCAGCCATATCACCCTGCAACTCACAACTGGCAGCCCACTGAAGCTAAGGAGGTGTGAGCCTGGTCAGTACCTGGATGGGAGATCTCCTGGGAAAATAAGGTTGCTGCTGGAAGAGGTGTTAGTTGGGCCAGCAGGGGGCGCTCACCCTGCGGTCCATGTGGGTCCTAATGCCCCAGTTTAGTGACAGGGACACTATACCGTAAACAGGCGCCGTCCTTCGGATGAGACATAAAACCGAGGTCCTGACTCTCTGTGGTCATTAAAAATCCCAGGGCGTTTCTCGTAAAAAGTAGGGGTGTAACCCCAGCGTCCTGGCCAAATTTCCCATTGGCCTTTACCAATCATGGCCTCCTAATAATCCCCATCTATGAATTGGTTTCATTACTCTGCTATCCTCCCCACTGAAATCTGATGTGTGGTGAGCGTTCTGGCTCACTATGGCTGCCGTCGCATCATCCAGGTGGATGCTGCACATTGGTGGTGGTGGAGGGGAGTCCCCATTACCTCTATAGCGCTTTGAGTGGAGTGTCCAGAAAAGCGCTATATAAATGTAAGCAATTATTATTATTATTATTATTATTTTTGTTTGTTTTTTTTCACTTGTAATAGTTATAATATAAGTCATTGTTATTTAATGGTTGTAATAAGAAAACTATCAGTATATCTTAACATCAATTATTTAACTTTGAATTCTACTAAAAAACATTTGAAAAGCTTAAGCAGACACTGAACTGTCATTTACAGCATTATGTTTGTGCATTTATTAATAACCTAGTAGAAGAGGAGTAAAACAACATGTTCTTGGTAAGGAAGAATGTGTTAAATTGACAATGTGACTCAGAATTTATCAGTACTACTATGTGAATCACCCACTCAAAAACACTCCTTCTCATTTCCATTTTGGCTTCCAACTTTACTGAAAGGAAGTGGGATAAATTAATCAGAATGCCTTTTTAAGCTACATAATACTAAGCATACATTTGGATATTGTTAATGGAAATTGTTTACTAGTTCAGTGATAGAGTAACTACTGTAATTACTGTAGTACATTGCTTACAGTATGTAACATTTGTTTCAGAGGTACAACATTATTGATAAAGTACTATATGTAAATAACTTACTTTGAGGATGATCTAAGGTCTAAATATATTCCACACTCCTTGTGTTACTTCAAATATATACCAACAGTATATAAAAAATACTAATTAGCACCACACAAATATTTTAAAACATACTCCACACCTCATGAGGAAAATGCCTAAATAAAAGTACCTAACTGTCAAAACTCTGAAAAAGGAATTATGGAACCATGTTTTATTGGTAATGGGGATGAATATTAAAGTTTAATTATTTTAGAAATAAGCTTGATGGCTTTATGATGCAAAAGATTTATTTGGGCTCTCCTGCTGAGATTAATTAGCTTTATTTACTGTAGCGCAGCAGGGGTGCATGTCTATATCTGCAGCACAGGCAGCAAAACTTTATGACCTCACTAGGTCTAAAAGTAATTTTCAGTGGAGATCAGTTTGCTTTGATCACATTTTACTTAAGGAACAACAAATCTATAGAATATACAGTACTACTAATAATAATGATAATGGTGCTGGTGATAATGGTAATTGAAGTTTTTTTTAATGTGAAGGATCTATGTTCCATTTTAAAAATGCCATACCATCTCATAATAATAATGGAAATGGACCACCTTTAATCACACAGTGTACTATAGAAAGTAGCTACATTACAAACTATAAACGTTTAATTTCCCATCACAACAATAACAACAGCAAAATGTAGTTAAAACAAACATGTCAAAATGTTTCCAAAATAACCACAAGTGAACAAGTTAAAGAATTCAATTCAGATCTTTACGTGGAAAGTGGAATGTGCTGCCACTACCAGCTATAGAAATATTTCATATTTATATCTCTAAATATATTATGTAGAAGGTGGAATACTATTACGTACTTTTTATTAGCTGGTAGTGATAGTTAACAATAAAAAAGTATATATACTATATTTATATCCATGAATTTATATTGTATGTGATGTTCATTACATTATACTGTACTTCTGTTATTTTTATTTTCAGCAACCAAAATTGACATAATTCCATATTAGTATTCCATAGTAAGTGGGTTTAGAGAGGTACAGTAGGGAAACAGATCAAATGAAGCAATTGCTTCACTAACATCTAATGCACCACAGGTGGCACCTATCAATATATTTTGGCTAGTGAATCATACAGCCGAAGTACACAGCACTGTGCCACAGAGTGTCAGAGCACATTCTGAGTGGCTGCATCTGTATGCCTTGCTTCATTTAAGATCCATCTACCACAAACCACAAACAGATATATACATGAATGATGCTAAATGACTTAGGATTTTTTATAATAATCATTAAATAAGTTAATCTACTTCGTAGGGTGGCAAGGGTTCCTTTCTGAACCTTGGGTGCTATCTGCAGGTTGTTTATACAGTACAGTATGTTCTCCCCATGTTCATGTGGGCTTCCTCTGGGTACTCCAATTTCCTTCCACATTTGAAAAAACGTACTAATAGATTATTTGGCTTCTGGGAAAATGGCCCTAGTGTGAGTGTGTGGAAAAAATTGGACTTCGTGTGAATGTGAGTGTGTCTTCCCTTGTGATGGACTTGCGCCCCTACCAGGGTGCACCCTGCCTTGCACCCATTGCTTGCCAGGAAAGGCTCCATTTCCCCCTCGGCCCTGAATTGGGAGAAGCCGTTAGAATAATGGATGGATGAAATATTATAATTACAAACCCATTGCCATTCGAAACATACAGTATGAGGCACTAAATGTAAATCTAAGTACATTAAAGACTGCGTATTACTGAATCAGTTTTCAAGAAGAAAACCATATACGGTAGATGAGAAAACGGAAGTAGCAGCACATTAAACTGAGAGACTTAAGAAGTGTTTGGAGTTTTCAAAATACAAAAAAATGTTATAATTCTAAGGCACTATCAACACATCCATAAGAGATGGAATTTCAAACACATGAAAGAACGAAATTGTGAAGGATGGGTATAACCTACCAGAAGAGGACAATACGGTGATTTCCTTTTTTCCAAAATCTTCTGGCAGTTTTTCCCCAGTCTGGGTAGGGCTCATCTTGAAGCATCATGTCAGTCACCTATTTGCAAGACAAGAACATGAGAACAATTACAGACAAGTGGAGGCCATTTGCTCCACCCAGGCCCTTTAAAACGTCCTCGCTAATTAATACACAAATTGCATCCAGATGTTTTTGAAAAAAAAATGGGATTTCAGCTTCAACAACATTGCTGGATATTTTGTTATATACTCCCACAACCTGCTGTGTAGAGAAGTGCCACCTGGATTTATTAATTGGTTGGTCCTTATATTTTTCCCATGTTTTCTAAAAAGATAAATTAAATTAATGTTACTATTTCTTTTTAACAGAAAATCACATCTTGTAGACACTGTTTATGAAGATTGGTTGTATGGGAAGTCATAACCATCACTAAAGAAACAAAGAATGTAAAGATGAATGTCTCCTTTTCCCAGATCAAATGTACTGATATACTCTGCCACTTAATACGGTGGCTAAATTGATTATTTCATCATTCCACAAATAGTCAGAGGTTGTTAGATTATCTGTTTGAAAACCAGAATACAAAACTTACTACAAAAAGTAATGACAACTGTTAATTCACACATTTAATGTATTGTGTACATCCATACAGTATGTGGTTAATTGGTCTAAATCACCCCGCTTTACAAAAAAAAAATTAAATAACTTCATTAGATCATTCTTTGTCTTTTTGACTGATGAAAATTTATTTGAAAAAAAAAGGCCCAATTAATGACAATTGCAGTTTTTCCAATACTAGTGAAAACTTGATTAAGTATTTGGTTTGTAGCTCCTTAGAAATATAAAACAGAAATCTAATTTAATATTACTGTCAAATGAAGAGATGTTGCTATAAATTACTGCCAGAAGCCTAAGTAGGCTCAAGTAAACCGAAATTGTTTCTAAGCAGGTCTGTATTTTTAAAGTATGTTATTGATTTTCCTCCCTCACATTAGGAGTGAATCTTATCTAATAGCTGCTATTTTTAGCTACGTTACATGATACATGAAATTGTTTCTAATTCAGTTAGGTGAGCAGTGAGCAGTGATGCTGCAAAGCAATCAATACCCCAGGAGGTAGTAAGTTAACATGTCTTTCTCTTGTGTTGGTTGGTCTCCTGAAAAGGGTAATTGTTTATCAGGATTGATTTATGAACATCTGTTTGTATCTCAGATTATGTTCTCCAAAATAAAGACAGATTCAAATACTTGTGATATGCAGTAAAACAGTTCTTTGTTTCTTATAATCACCATACATTTCAGAGTATTAATTAAAATATTCGATAGAAAACAAACAAGATGCTATTGTTCAGCACCCTTTTCATTAAGATTTGTAGAGTTAACCTACAAAGCATAACACTAAGTAAGAAGTATTTGGAATATCAGATTGGAAGAGGTCTCATGTAAAGTTCAATAAACACAAAGGTTGAGGTGCTAACAATTGATGGCTTACTTTGAAAACATTATCAAACAAAGAAGATTAACTGAAAGATAACAGAATAATGTACTGTAACACATCAGTAACATGGTAGCTGTTGCCATTTTGACTAGCTACTGTAGCTCTTTGGCAATTTAAATCTGAGTTACCATCACTCATGAAATACTAATAATATTTTCCAACTTATACTGTATATGATAATTTAATATTGTTGGAATTTTGTGTTTTGATGTCTCTTGATTCTCAGTCTTGTGCATATTGAATTTTGTATTAAGACCAGAATTAAAACTGAGAAAAAAATATCCAAATCATTCCTAATGAATTATATTTAATGGCAATTGCTAACAATTTGTTACTCTAAACCATAAGTGCAAAAAATATACATAAAGATACATAAAGAATAGATCAAGAAAAAAGATAATTAAAATATTACTTTTTTCTATATTTTTTTACTTCCAGTTAGATGAGAGTAAACCATTGAACAGATTATTTCAAATAATCGAGAAATCACCTACACGTTTAAAAACATCTGGTTCACATTTTTAAGTTGTGTTGCTTTCCTGCGATATTAGTGGCACTGTTACTGATATGATTTACTGACAATGTGAATGGACACAAACACAATTCACATTTGACATAAAATTCCCTTCTGTAAATATAATTATTTCTGTTTTTAAAAACATTAAAAAGCAATAAGAAATTTTATTTTTACAGCACTATTTTACAGTATCTGAAAATATTTAATTAGTGGAGTTACAATGGGCTAATATGTTTGTACAGTATATGGCTGGTATCGGTACTTTAAAGAAAACATACACACCAGTATTCCATTCCTCCCTAAACATTTTAAGCATCGAAGTCTTTAACTAACGTGATACCGGAGTCAACAAGCATACTTTTAGAATTTGATTAAAAGGGAATATAATATGGAATCGTGTATCTAAAGAAATTAATAACGATATAATTATATTCATGTTGCAAAAAAACTGCAACGGACATAAAAACTCCCTTGCTTTTAACAGAGTGTTCCATAATTTCTAACTATGAAAATTATTTAAACTGTGACACTTATCATTCAACCAGAGCTTGAAATATCACAAGGATCCTCTAGAGCACAGCAAAGACTGTATTAAAAGAATCGCGTATTTAAAGAAATTTATAAGATATAATTATATTCGGGTACTCCAACAGGGCTGTGTAGGGCTGTTTCACCTCTCTCTTCATGTGACTCTATTCAAAAGCCATTTAGCAAAGAGGGGATGAGAAGAGTGACAAACTAGTATACTGCACTTTAGATATTTTTTTTTCTGAACCTGGGAAAATCTGATCATGTTTCTCTATAACAATAATAAAAAACATTGCCACACCTGGACTGTTAAACCAACGCATTAGCACGTCAAAGCCCATTGAGGAGCCAGGTGCAATAATTGTTTTGTCCCTTGATTTACTGATCTGCATTAATTACAGAAATCGAGTTTCTGCTCTTTGCAGACGACCTGGTCCTGCTGTTGCCCACAGAACAGAGGCTGCAGCAGAACCTGGCACTGCTGGAGCAGCACTGTCAGACCTGAGCGCTGACAGTCAATCTGGACAAGACCAGAGTTATGGTTTTCCAGAAAAAAAGCCAGACCTCCCTTAGTCTTCTTGAAATTGTCGGATTATGAGCGAATAAAAGCATGTTATTACAAACACGTTTGCGTTTGTTTGGGAGCTATATTATGTATTTTTCATATGTAACATATAATGGAACAAGTAATAGGTTTATTCCATGCTGAAAAAAAGAAGAAAGAGAACACAATGTTTCGGCCGTGGAGCCTTCTTCAGGTGAAGAAGGCTTCTTCACCTGAAGAAGGCTCCACGGCCGAAACGTTGTGTTCTCTTTCTTCTTTTTTCAGCATGGAATAAACCTATTACTTGTTCCTTTTCAGCCTACGCATGCTGATGCAGCTACCACATAATGATGTGTTCCAGCCTACACATCGCACGACTTTAAAAGCTAGAAAAACAGGTTTCGATTCACATTATCTGGTGAGCCTTGTTTTGTTAAAGGACAGCACAAAAAAAACAGACAATACACGGGGGGAGGGCAAGCGAGAGGGAGAGTTTTTTACCCTCTGTCAAAAAAAAACAAATCACCTGGGGCAGAGACTCTGGGGGGATCATTGTGTGGTACAGAACGGAGCTCAGTCAATTCAAACAAGTTCAGCTCTGATTCAGTTTCAAAAAAACTGCAACGGACATAAAAACTCTCTTGCTTTTAACAGAGCGTTTCATAATTTCCAACTACGAAATTTATTTAACACCTTAAGGACAGCACATACAAGGGTTAATTGCACAATGGACCGCGCAAAGAAATTTAAAATAGTCTTCTTTAGGTGTGAGGGCAGGAGTGGATTGCAGAAGGCATAATCAGCAAATTAGGAAAACAAAGAACAGGACAGGTGAGACGTTTATCCAGAGAGCAAGTGATCAGAAAAAGGAACAGCTGTTACGCCCAGGTTATACGCTCTCTCTGCTGAATGAATAAAAGCATTTTATTAAAAACGCGTTTGCGTTTGTCTGGGTATTTACTTTGTAATCTGTGGTTTACATCTACTGTATTGCTTTGAGATCCCACTTTTAAAGGTGATATGTAAAATAAAGTTTTTTTATTATTGTTATAGAGAAACATGATCAGATTTTCCCTGGTTCAGAAAAAAGACGATTAAAATCTGTAATCTTTCCACTTGTATGTCATCGGAAATACAAGAAGTTTCTGCCTTGTGTAAGGATGGTATCAAAAAGTAATCTAAGTGGTGAGAAAGCTGTGCTCCTCAAAGCGCTTTACAGGATAAAAACAACAGCAATAGTGTTAAGATGGGCAAATTATTTTTTAAAAGAAATACAAAATGAGATATAATGATGTGTTCCGGCTAAGACATTAACGAGTACAACCCCCTTCTCTGCAGGAGTGCTGGCTGTGATGAATTAAACCGGTTTCACAGGTATTTTCAAAGTAGAAGGGGGCGAGATTTCCAGCGAAAGACACCTCCCCCCTCCAAAGCCAAGGAAGTTCAGTACTTACTAGTTAAGAAAGCTAGGCTCCTCAATTAAATCTCTTTAACATGCTAATGCGTTGGTGTAACAGTCCGGTGAAGTGGAAATCTAATAAGTAAATTGATTCTTAAAATGTAGAGAGCTTTGCAAAAAATATATTGGTGCTTTTAGAAAATATATTTCAAGGATGTAATTGCTGTGTGACAGTACGTGCAGAATTTTAGAAAACAGTGCGTCAACAAAGTACACTGTTTAGGTTACTTTAGAAGACAATGTACCAAAACAATATATGCTGTCTGGGTCGTTAGAATTAGCCGAAAGTAACTGATTAGCTTTGAAAAACAAATCTAGTGCTTCTTCTCTCACTCTATGATGTAATCTGTTTTGTCTTAGGGAAAGGGGAAATTTTGAAGGGACAAAGCACAGAGCTTTTTTACAGCGCAACATCTTATAAAAACCCTGTACTGCTTGTAACAAATTGAGTCTCTGGTTGCACTTTGCGAAGTGGGAGCAGGGCTCCCAATATTGCAATATTGAAATAAAGACCTTACTCAGGTGAGAACTCT